CCGACTCGACCCTCCATCCGTGCACCCCGCTGTGCAGATCAGCTGACGCCGCCGTGACATCAACCACCGATCCACGTCCCGAGCCAACGAACGTCGGTTCATTCCCCACGTTGCACACGAGGAGCCCCAAACTCGAGAACAAATCGTCGAGTTGCTCTTCCCTCGCAATCGACTCCCAATCGCCCCAGCTGGCAGATCTAGCATTGAAGTCTCCAGCAACGATCACTCCATCGCCCCTGGTGCGACGCCGGATCGCCTCCAGTCTGTTCAGAAACGAGTCGTACTCTGCCGCTATACAATTCGGCGACACATAACAGCTGTAGACTGTGATTCCGCTAATTCTCGCCGAAACGAACTCAACGTCGTGCTCAATGTTCGCAACCGTCACACGTCTACCGAAGACGCCCAGAGCAGCTCTACAGCTTCCTGCAGAAATGAGCCATCCATCACTCCTCGATTCCTGGCTTAGCCCTAATGGATCGGAAGCTACTACAACATCGACTCTCCCCATATGGACCTGCTGCACCAGCGTTGTGAGTTTTAAAGACGGCGCCTGAAGTAATACCTAACGGTAGTTCCAGGGTGGTCCACAACCAAGCCGATCGGAGAAAAAAAAAAAAAAAGGTGAGTCTGCTCGCTGGCGAGTCGATGAGCCTTCCCCAGGATAAGGTTCAGCGCTTCCACCACGGTCGCCCGTCCGCATCATCTAGTCCTCTTCTGCCGCAGCCGCAGCATCAGGAGATGACGAGACTTCCTGCTTCTCTACGTACACCATGTACTCTACGGCCTATTGAAGCCCGCGCCCCATGGTCCTCATTATCCCGCTGTCGTTGTAGCGGGATAAGATCTCCGAGGCGACTAGGCGGGCGACGCCAATAAGACGTTCCGCCGCGACTTCCCCTTGGCGACTAGCAATAGATCCATCGATGATCTCCGCTCTCTACTTGGGGTCATCTACGCCTTCTAACGGGTCATATTCCTTGACCCTTTCCGGGGCAAAGGAACGCCCGTCGTCCAGGTCCTTCTGCATAAGCTTCAGGATTGTGGACACTGAACTATAGAACAATTCGGCCGTCCGGAATTGGCCACAAGGAAACGAGTCCAGCGACACTTCTCCAGCCTTCATGTCGAGCAACAGTCCGCTCCATTGAGTGAACTCCAAATGGGTCAGCAACACGTCATCGCGGAAGCGATCGCGCACGCCTTCTCATTCGTCCACCATCTCCTTGACGGTAGCAAAGCCACCAGCAGTTACCTCAGTGACCCGAAGATCACTGGAGGATGCCTGCTTGGCACATAGCTTGGGCGCGAATGCCCCATGGACCCTGCCTCACCAGTCCCACGGTCTTGGTACAGTCGCTGGATAACGACCGGGTTAGGCCTGTAGCGATACCTTTCCCAGCCGGCCCTGGAGACTCCGATTCTCCTGGAACGGTAACCGTTTTTTTTAAATGGTTTGCTTCCATGTTTGGTTTTACGGGTGTCCTTCCCTGCGTTTTACCTACCGCCAGGGGATTTGTTTTCAAATAACAGACTGATTACCCGATCTACAATGTGCTGCTCTGAGCAACTGGAGCGTGCGCGCATCGCTAAACGTTGTTTATTTATGATAAATTCCGTCATGCGCTGATGTGGCCCCTGTTGTGTCGTCATGAGTTCGTTCTCTAATTCAGCTTGTATGCTGTTACTATCGAACGTGGTTAGAAATTCCCTCGCAAATTGTCGCCAGAACATGTTGTTTAATTTGATGGTTTCCCACCAAGTTAATGTCATGCCCTTTAAAAATTATATGCCTGTTTTTACCCATAAATCGCGATCTATGCTCGCTTGGGCCAATAGGCTTTCTACCTGATCCAAAAACTCGCGTAGGTCCTCCCCATATTTTTCCGTAAACTCGAGGGAAGGGGGACGTACAAGAGGCGAATAATTAAGTGGCCCGCTCGCCATGTGCGTGTGCGTATGGGTTGATGAAGACAGAAACAAATCGCGTGTCGGTGGCGCGAACGTGTTCGGCTCGAAGAAGCGATGGTGACGCGCGCGAAGTCTGACTGGCTAATCGTTGTAGGTTAAGCGATTCGCGCTCCTCGATTTCAGTCAGGAGTTGTTGTAGGGCCGCGTCATTTTAAGTCGTGTTGTTAGGCCCAAAAGTTACGCGGCTTGGTTCGGACAGACGCGCGTAACTAGTGCGGTTGCTTTCCGCCGTTTCTCGCGTCATCCGTGCGGTAGCGAACGGATTACGTATGGTCTCGTTAGTTAAATCACGATTTGTAATTGTGTGTGAGAGGGACCGGATCTCCTGCGTAATGCGGGACAGTGCTCTCTCTACTTCTGACATGCGCGCTTCCATACGTGTGTTAAGAAACATATCGCGTAAACTTTGTCTTACTGCCCCTATCTCCTCCGTTGCGTGGGATATTGGACGCACCGTATATAAGTCATCAGTATACGCTGCATTCACACTATCGTTCGGGCAGCCGGTTGCCAGAGACCATTCATGTAGAGACTCCTCTTTGGGGTCCTCTAGCGCCAAGTTAACCGGTCGGTCCGCGTATGTGGTTGGGTCGACGGTCCGGCATAGCGCGGGGACTTCGTCTGCCTGAGACTCGCGTTCCGTCGAGAGCGTCTCGTAATGAAGCGGCTGGCGTTCGGGCAGAATCGCGTTCGATGGGTCTAGCCCCTCACTGCGTAAACTATTCTCCAAGACTGCCAGCATATCGCTTTTTGTCGTGGGGCCGTTTAACTGCCTAAAAGCGCATTCACGCAATAATTGCCGACGGTTCATTTAAGAAAGAATTTTTTCGGTCATAGTGAACGTTCCTTACCGTATTTCAATCGAATTAACCAAAGATGAAAAGTATAAGTGGTAGTTTGTTTTTGTTATTCGGAAATACGATATCAACAAACGCGAGAATACGCGCTTTGCGTTCGCGTATGAACGTTAACAATGCTGGCCGTTTGTATTATTATTGTTATTGCTTAGATAGTGTACTGATAAAACACTAAGGACAGTGAATTGTGCCTGGGAATGCGATTGCAATGATGGTAATCGTAATCTTTATGATCGTGACGACACAAATAATAATACAAACGGTTTTATGGGACCGGTTGTCAAATGTAACGATCGCTGTGGTATGATAATGTGTATGATCACCCTACCTGCCTAGCGGTTTTATCGAAACAATTAAACGGTTGTGTTCGCGGCGTTGTGCGACTCAAGATCGTCCGTGCGCGTGTATGTATAGATACGTAATCGCCAGAAATCCACTTTTACCGTGTTTAAAAATACACCGAAGCTGGAAATCTACTATTCGCGAGGTGGATAGTATCTATATAACCGGTGGGAAATCCACTGCTGTCACCAGTGAACTGTGTGATTGAAATAATTTGAAGAAAAGTGAATGTAAAGGAAACCTAGCTGTCTTATTTAAAAAAAAAAAAATGAAGTCAGCAGCTGGTTTTCTTATCTTAATCCAATGTAAGACCGGTTGAGATCCTTACCGGGGAGCCAGTTAACACGACTTACGTCGCAAAAATGTGGTCGACACTGGTTTTGAGGGTAGAGACCCGTGGGCCGTTTATTAAATGAGCGACAACAGGTTATTTTAACAAAAAAATAAAACAAACCGAAAGATTGTTAGGGGCTTGTTTAATAGTTGAGGATCTTGGTCAAAATCAAGAATCGGAAGCTACCCGACGTCTGCCCAAATATCGTCCCTATCTCCTTAAACGAGTTTTAATTGCCTGAAGGAGACACAGGCAATCGTGTACCTTAGTTACAGGGGATAGATTATTAAATAAAATTAGACTATTGTTTTATGTCAACGACAAAGTAAAGTTATATTTAGATGTTCAGTAAATATAAGTTATATGTAATGTACAATACGTCTGACCTGAATCCTAGTACAGTTGGTTAGTAGGTATATCCAAGTGAGACGGAGTTGGTTGGCTATGATGACAATTGGCGATAGACGGGTCGTTGAATAAAACAAGTAAAGTTATAAATAATATAAATAAGACGAAAGTAATAATATTGAAAATTATGTCTATAACGGCCACTCAAACACAACTGCCCTTTGTTAGTTCGACGTCAGTAGCTCCGGGCTACAGACGAGTAGAATTGTCATAGCAGCATCTCCCTCTATGCTAATTAATATGTATTACGAATTAAATAAATAGAAATAAAACGTGTATAATATAAGTGGTAAGAACATAGTAATAAATGTTCTTACAAGATAATAAACAATAAACACAATAATAAAAATCTTCGCATAATATTGCGGAACTTTCGATGGCGTTGACGACGCGATGTCCGGCGTGATCCTTGGGCGACAAAAGGTTAGCAGCGTTGTAGGCGACGGTGCGCGGGTGCGTATTGGTTGGTCGACATTGTCGCTTTCACAATGGGAGGAAGACTCTCGCACCATTTGCGGCGGGTCGACGTCGGCCGTGCGGCATTTGCTGGATTTTGCACCGTATAACACGCGGTGTTAGTCAGTCAAATACTCATAGTAGGGCGACGGCTGATAAAGGTGGCACGAGTCGCGGGGCATCGTGTATAACGAAGCGACGCGGGCCGTGTCAGAAGTGATATTATTTTAAGTACACTTATCATGTTTTTAATTATTTATAGCTTATTATTAAGAGTGGATCTAGAGATAAATATTGTGGACGAGTATAAGTTTTTCGTATTCCCTTCCCTCAAATTTCTAAAATTAAAGGCCCGATGTATTATTTTTCCACGGGCATTAGAAGTTCTAGTTACGCCACTGAGTCAGCTCTCCTGTTAGTATTGCTGTACGTCACTGTGTCAATTATATATAAATGTCTAAAATACGGTATAGTGATGTTATAGGAGACAGAGATATGGGCACATGCAAATGTGATCGTATCACTTAGTTGTTTCTCTAGGGGGACATAAACTAATTAGAAAACCCTCGTTACTCAAGGTAGATAGTCTAACTAGCTATCATTTTGTAGATTTAGAAATTACAACAGACAACACTGTTAAAAGTAGATTTATTGTTTAAGAAATAATTCATTAAGTACATTCAGGCTATATTATGAGAAAATAAATAGGAGGATCTCATAATAAACAAATTACGATTAAAGATAATGTTAATTTACTTTTTAAATTAAATAAAAAAGTTTTCAATCATTAATATAATTTTATGAATGGTTGTTTCAGTGTTAGAAGTATTTTTTTTCTCAGATACAGCTTTGAAGTGTACTACGGAAACAATAAAACAAGATAAATATATTATATGACCTAAAGAAGTACAACTAATATTTGAAAAAAAAATATACAATATTAATAAATATTTAACACATAGTCATTGCAAAAATAATAAATCAATTAAAACCAAAAATCAATTGGTTTTATATTAAGAGCAGTAAAAACTAAATAAATATCACAATAATTATTAATATGTTAATTGCTAATATGTTTAAATATATAATTTATTTACAAAAATAAATGAAAAAAGGAAAACAAACACTTAATTATCCACACATTTGATGAAATGAAATTACCAGATCTCAAACAATAAATTGTTCATAAAATAAACTTACAAATTATCAAAAAGATTACCACGTCCAGAAGAACGAAGACCTCTTATTTTAGATTCTTTTGCTTCTTGAGAACCATCATTACACCAGCGGCTATGACAAAATTTGAACCTATAAAATAGAACATAAAATTTTTATATTTAAATTAGACTTATAAGTCAAAATATTTTCAACTTTAAAGGTAAAGTGAAGTTTTCATTTGAAATGTACAGAAATGTTGCTAAATGAAATTTAAAAACAAAAAATAAAAAGTTTAATTCAATTACATACATATCTGTTTGAGAGTTAAAGTTGAAGTTAAAGGAAAAAATGGGTATGAAAAAATTTAAACTCGAGTCATAATAATAATACAGGTAGAATTTTTTTATATTACTCTTCAGGTTTCTTTTTAGTATGTAAATTACATCCAAATGCTGATACAGGTAAATTATCAGTTATTTCAATTGCTTTTATGTTAGATGGATCAGGTAAAAGTGTTACTAGTTCTTCTTTTTCACTGTCATTTGAATTTTGGTAGTGACTTTTATTACGTCCTTCTTTCAAATATTCAATACGCCTCAATTCTCTTAAACGTTGCATATCCCATCTAATATGGACAAAAAACAATACTTTTTTTAAATAAATTGTTAATAAATGATTAAAATTATTTTAAAACCTTTTTCGTTTACGTTCCCAAAGTTCAAGTCTGGAGTGTCTACTTTCAAAAATATCATCAGACATATTTTCAGTTCCTTCCATAGAATACCAACTTGTATAGTTTTTAACTCTCCAGCTAGGAATCTGAAAATTAAATGACCTTAAATACAAATACTTTTTTAATAGTTATTATATTTCACCTCTAAGTTGTTAGTATTACTCTCTGGCAATGGATCATCTTTAATTGGATCATAATTTCCTAAACAAGTGTAGTATGCATTTTCTGAAGTAATAAGTGATAGTTCTTGCATTTTTCCAGAATCACCTGTAAGGTTAAAATTAATTACAATATTCATATAATATTAAAAAATATAAAATGTATAATTAATATTTTTCCTAACAATAGACAATAAAATAATTTAACCTCATAAAATAAAGTAAAATTATAAGTACAAGTTTTTCTTATCTAAACTTAACATTTTAACTTAAATGAGAGGTTGAGTAGGTATTGGATTTGTGATGGTATACATCTTTTTGTCTGTTTCCACTTTTTCTCAGCTCTCACTGGACTGATATTAATAGATCAAAAAGCCTGATTTAAATCTAATTAAACTTATTGTCACTGTAAAATTAGAAAAACCCTCAATTTTAGAAATTTTAAATTATATCCATCTCAAATTACATTATCATAAAAATAGCAATTATTAACATTTTTTCTGAACATTAAAAGTGCTATAACTTAATTTTTTTTTTTATACAGAAGACAATAAGATTTCATTTTGTATGTTTTTTGTGAAAATTCATTGGAAAACCAAAGTACAAAAAAGGGTTTGTGTAAAAATATAACATATAAAAAATATTTTTTCAATTCAATTTTTGAAAAGTTTTCAAAACAATTTTGTTCTTCAAACATATATGATATTTAAGCTTATTAAATGTACTACAACATTGAATACAATAAAAATCAATTAAGAGATTATCAAGCACATTTTTCTAATAATATTAAGTAAGCAAGAATCCTAGTTTGCTATGAAAAAAAGAATTATCTTAAAAATTCATTTTCATTTATCTTTTTACTGAAAAATTTATTTTTGTGATTTAAATTTTGTTTTATTAATTGAACACACATTAAATTAGTATTTATTTAATTGAATTAGTATAAGTTAACAAAAAAAAATGTAATACAAATAAATGTATATTAACCTGATTTAGTACGAATACGATTCTTAAGTTTTTTTAGTTGGTTATTATCTACTGTTTCTACACATGGACGTTTCATTGGCATTTGACGTTGTTTTCGCTTTCTTACTTTAGAACCATGAGTTTGTAATTCTATTGAATTAATATCACCAATGCCTGAAGAATAATTTGTTGTTACTGGTGTAAAAGGGAGAGTATCTATAGATTCTTTTCTTGCTAAATTCACTAACTGTTGTTTCGTTTCTTCCAGTTTCTTTTTAAGCTAAAACATTAGATTGATAGAAACATAAGATAAAAATAATTTATTATAATAGTAAGTAACTAATAAACTAACAAAATTAACTTCATCAGATAACTGTTCAATAGTTTTGTCCTTTTGATTCACTATCACTTTTAATTCGTCAATTAAATCAAGATTGCCAAGTGAAAAGTCTTTAAGACTTCTTATTTCAGAATTTTCACACGATGAGTATTTATGATTATTAGATGTCCTCAGCTGGTCAGTTGTAGATATTTTGGATGCAATTCCCATCACCATTTCACTTTTATCATCGAGGTCTTGTTCACAGTGGTTGACGTATCCTCCACTGCCACAGTTAACTCGACACTCCTTTGACATTACACTACGGCCGTTAATGCATCTCCCAGCGCTTATCATTTAACCAATTACGAAGTGCGTTAAAGTATTTTAATACTGTTACTATATTATGTTTATTGAAAATATATATGCATATATCAAATATCCAAAATATTAATTTAACAGCTAAAGGATGTATATTTATAAAATTAATTAACTTGAAACGTAAACGTCATGAAACGTAGATTATTATATTATTTTTCAACTGAAAAGTAATCAGTAAAAATCACATTTTTAAAAACAATGAAATATAAACAAACTGTTATCAAAGACAAAAGTAATAATACATTTAACCAACATAATAATAATACTAAGGTAACACTGTCTTGCCCGCCGAAATCACTATTAAAGTATTCAAGACTGAGAGCCGGATTTTTTACTTAGATAATCTGATCAGCCTGTTCAGTTCAGATCAGTTTGTTTGGTTTGTTAGTTTTATTTTTATTTTAAATACAATTATTTTTGATCATATTAAAAGAAGTACAACAATCTTTATAAGGAAATTATCTATTATCTAATCTGATTTTAAAACTGTATTCTAACAATTCTATTTTTTTTTAATATTATACTTTTTAAACTTTGTGTGTAATTACGTATAATATTCATAACATGTATATTAAATGTATTCTAAATAGGTATGTAAATTATAAAGTTATAATTTTTTTATATAAGAATTTACTCTGTGGTTTTTTACTTAATAATTTATGTAATTTTTTATTAAATTAGATTCATACTATATTGATAAAAAGTTTTGGATGCAGTCATGAGTACATGTATTTTAAAGTCTCCATAATTCAAATGTAAGTATATGAAATTTTGTCATGTATTATTTTTGATAAATCCCAACCCAATCAAGGCTCAGAACCATTTGTTTAAAATTAACCAAAAATAGCAAGATAAGTGCTTAAAAATAATGAAGTATACAAAAAAATTCTTCTTTTTAATAAAAACAAGATTGATTCATTTAATTTACTCAAACTTAAGTAAATTCATTTTCTTTACCTCTGTTTTTTAACTACTCATGCTGAAAATAATTATCTTGAATTTTAACAAAAATCAAAATAAATTAAATTTACTTATTTAGTTGAATTACATTGAGGTAAAAGATGTTTCCTAATATCTTCATCTTTAAATGATTTTCGGTTCTGATTCAAAAGATTTTTTTAAGCAAGAAGGATCTCCATGTTTACCAATGCAATGGGTTCAAATTTATAAAAACAGATCATTGTTAGTAAGGTTTTCAAGTTATCAATCTCTATCTGTACAAGTTCCACAAATAATTTTTGATATTTTTTTCAACATAGTTAACCATAATTTTGAACAAACGTTATTTCAAATTTTTTATGTATATTTTAGCTTCAATGCGAAGCTGAGAAGGTTTTCATTTTACCATAATGTGTTTTTTTTTTTTTGTGTCTGTCACTACTTTTTCTCAGCTCTCACTGGACAGATTTCTTTCAACAATACGTCAAAAGATCACAAATCGTATCTAGTTGAAGACATTACCCTTAAGAATTAAAAAAGTTTTCCTCGTTTTTCGCAAATAGGGGAAATCTCCAAAAAAATTACAATTTTTAAAATCGGTAAATATTGTCGTTTTTTCACTGTTTTTTCTTAAAATTTCGATAACTTTTTCAAAAATCAACATAATTTATTTTTATATTAAAACCTTAGATATTTCCCTTTCATTTGATATCATTTTTTTAAAAATCTAACACTTAACCTGCTCACAGGGAGGTATTTAAAATAGCAACTTTTTTACAAAAACTAACTTTTTCAACTTAACTTTTGAAAATGTTCCAGAAATACTGCGTCCTTTAAACATATACCAAATGAAAGCTTATATCTACCAATCTTCTGCATCAAACGGCTGCTGTAGTTAAAAAAATGGTATTTTTCTGTTAAAATTTTCGATTATCGATTTTAAATTTTCAACTTTAAAATGCTATAACTTTTTGAAAAATGTATGTATCAGCACACATTATTTTTTTTTGTAATTACATTATAAGTACATTTTTCATTTGACATACTTTTTTTGTATTTATTTTAAGGGGAAAATTGGACAACTTCCTCTTATATAAAGGGTGTTCAACACTTGAAACATTGTATAAAAATTAGAACTTTTTAAACTTAACTTTTAAAAATGTTTCGGAAATACTGCGTCCTTTAAACATATACCAAATAAAAGCTTATGTTATGTACTATAAAATTAAAAAAAAAATTGTCCCGACGACTTATCTTCTAAAATATTTATTCATTCTTAGAAAATGGCCGTTGAATTTAACAAAAAATGTAATTTTTATGTAAAAATCACTGTTTAATATGAAATATTTGAATACCTAAAATTGACATAAATTTTTCAAAAAATAACAAATCAACATAATTTTTTTTTTTTTTTGAAACCTTAGATATTTTCCTTGCATTTAATATCATTTTTTTAAAAACTAACACTTAACCTGTTCACAGGAGGGAATTTAAAAAAGCAATTTTTGCTCACAAGTTTTTCAATTTAATTTTTGAAAATGTTCCTGAAATATTACCACTTTTATTTAATCTTAAATTAAAGCTTATATTATATACTTTAATACGAAAAAAAAAATCGAAATATAGATTTTCTTCTTGGTGAAAATGGCTACCGTTTTCAAAAATATGCTATTTTTGTGTTAAAGTTCTGGGTTTTGTATTTCATTTTATTTTAAAATATCTTGCAAGGGGAATACACTGACTTTCATGAATATTATATAATTTAATGACATACAATAAAGTTCATAAAACAAAAGAAGTTAAACTTATTTAAATTTTTTTGCTTATTTAAAGTCGAAAAAGTAACTTTAAAATTTGAATCAGCTTAAATTGTTAATTTTATCATGCGACAAAAGCAACAAACAATTGCCGAATCGGTAACACTTGTGTCTTTCACGCTTAGAGTACGAGGTCCAAATCCGCCTGTGGTGAATAATATTTTGCATTTTTTTTGAGTTAGAATAAAATGTTCAAATCATTTGATTTTTATCTCATTTAGATTCAATAAATATCAAGGATCCCATCACTATAGTCTCCCCTCGTTAGAAGAAATTTCTTATTTATGTTAATATTATTTTACTATGTGTTTTTTTTTTTTTGTGGCTACGATTTATTTTTCTAACCCTCACTTTAACTACATTTTTCAACAATACATCAAATTATTAAAATTTGTATTTAGTTGAAGATATTACCCTTAAAAATAGAAAAAAATTCCTTATTCAAATAAAAAGTACCTTAACCAGCTTTTTCCATACAAATAATTAAAATCATTCATTTCTAATATTTTTAAAGTATTTAATGTTTAAAATTAGATTTGATATGATACTTTTATCATATCGAACAAAATAAAGAAGGTTAAAAATTATTACTTGTAACATATTAAAAATCAATATCAATAATAATTTGAAAACAATTCAATATAGCAATTATATAATATATAATTTTATCTAATATTTTTGAATCTAAGAATTACTAATCTAAGGAAATAGTTGATGTTGCTTTTGTAATTATCCACCAATTTCTTAAAATTTGCATCAAAGAGTTTCTTATGATTTTCTTATTTAATCACTGCCAGATTAAATCTATACTGAACCCAACTATGCCACGTCCCCACTGTGCCGCGATCCCTCTGTACTGGGTTTTCTTTTTTCCATTATTGTTCTTTTATTTCATTATATTTTTAATTGAGCTGGAACATCTTCCAAAATGCTTAAGATTTCAACTAAATCATATATCACTGTTGTAATTTAAAAATTAAAATTAAAAAAAAATATTAAAATTTGGTTTGATATATATCAGATTACTTTGGATACGTTTTTGGCTAATTTTATTTGAGCAATTTTAGTGCTTAGTGCTTTTTTTGTTTCTTACATTAACAATTTCCCAAATTATTTCCTCATATTCTCAGTTGTAGATGTCAGCATTTATCAATGTACCCTAATGAGTGATAATAGGCTCTGGTGGTAAAAAAATGTATGATTCTTGAGTCATAAATAGGTGAATATGCATTGGTGCTTTTAAAAACTAAATTGATGACATATTTCTTCAGAAACTTTATGCAGTCCATGAGAAGCATAGTTACATGTACCATTTTTTAATAAAAAAAAGGGATTTTCCTAATTTTATTATATGTGGTACATCATTCAAAAGAAATTATAATAAATCAACATGTTGGATTTCGTCAAGACCATATAATATTCAGCTTAAACGGCGTGAAAAAAAAAATTGCTAATAGAACTATGGTTAATTTTTTCTTGTTATTCAGAATTAAGTAAAAGTATTTCTCCTGAATTATTCTCTTCTAAAGTACCTGTAATAGCATTTGTAATATAGAGTTCCTCAACATCTATAGTTTCATCTACCGATGACCTAATTTTTTTTTTTTAATAATTTCTTCATTGCAGTCGTCAATTCGGTGGCTATATCTTTTTATTTATACAATTTTAAAAAATTACGAACATCTATATTTAGATGTTTTTTTAAGGGACTTGTTGATATTATATGTCAGCATAAATCCAAACAACTGTTGGTAGCTTTTTGTAATTTGATTTTTTTCATGTTCTATAGCTTGACAATGTTTTCTATAATAAATTTCTGTTTAATACTTAATTATTTTTTATAGTCAAATTTTACTTAACAAAGTTTGCAAAGTAAAATTTTGTTATTGATAAAAAAAACATTTTCACTAAATTCAAAATGAGAGATTTTAGGCAGGAAGATTTCCATTGCTTATCTTGAGATATCGTATTTTAAAAGTTAAGTAGAAAGAATAGATAATTTTTATATGACCTGAGCATACAATGGTTAGCAAGAAACTGATTACATAATTTTGATTAGACTTCACAGATGTTTCACAGGAAGTCGGAAAGTAGTGTTGTAATCAAATAAAAGGGTACAACATTTTTAATTAACATAAGATTAAACTTGTAGGAAATGACATTACAGAAAATATTGTGGCCCTGTGGTCTCTATAAAACCAAGTTATTTTAATGGAGTAAAGTCAAACAATAATAAATATAATGTGTTGACTAATTTTAGATGTTGATATTGGTCATGGCCTATTTCATATGTAATAGAATATAAAACATATTTTCTAAATTAATAATTTAAATAATATATTATACAAAAATTAAGTGAAAAAACTATTCTTATTAAAATTCTATTGGCTAAGTAAATTATAAAATGCAAAAATATGTAATTTTGGAAAAAAAAATATGCAAAATAAATTTTTGTCTGAAATAATGGAATTTTTATCAAACCATAATTTCAATATATGATTTATTTACAAATATGTATTTGCCTTAAGTTCTAAGCCTTGGTTATAACCATACTTAGGTAGAATATTTTTCGAATAACTTAGAAAATTTTTTGAAATATATATCAAATCTAAAAATTATTTTGTATTATTATTTTTTCTCACCTTAATTCATAATATATGAATGTAAGTATGTCAAATGAAAGAGGTATATAAATAGTATTTATCATAAAAATATTGTATTGATTCATATATTTTTCAAAAAATTATAGCATTATAAAATTAAAAAAATAAAAAAGTTTATTTTTACAAAAGTCTTATTTTTTTTATTAACTTTGATGTTAGTTTTCACCATAAAAACACACTTCTTCTTCTTCTTTTTCTTCTTCACCTCAATCCCAACTACTTGGGGTCAGCCATCCTTATCCTAAACTTCCACTGAACACAATCACCCACATCATCTACGCTTACATTATCCGTCCATATATCACATTCAATAACATCCCTCCATACCTTTTTTGGTCTTCCTCTACCTCTTCTTTCTTTAATATTCATTTCTATAACTGTTCTTACAGCTTCCAATTCTTCTCCTCATAATTTGACCAAACCATCTAAGTCTACTTTCTCTCATCTAAAAATTATTTTATATTTTATTTATTGAATTAAGTACTTTATTCAGCTCATTTAAATCAAACTTGATGCAAAAAAATGTTTAATTTTTACATTTTGTATTGTAGAATTCTTTTTTTTTTTTGCAAAGTATTCTTAATTATATTATAAATTACAAAACACACCAAATATTTATACTTGAAAAATTAACTTTTATATTAAAATATTTATATTTAAAATGTACATCTCTAAAAATCCTGGAGTATTTAAGACTATAAATTGCATGATTTAGATTCATTAATAATTTTTTTAGGTTAGATAATGTTTAAAAAAAACTATTCATAGGGTATTCCAGGAATATATTCTGCCTGAGTATAATAAAAATCATGATTCTAAAACTTATTAAAATATATTTAAATTATTTTTAGATATTTAAAACCAATATGCCTAGAAAAATATTAATAACTAGTGGTGCAGCTATATCAAGACCACAAAGAAATACAGTAATATCTTATTATTTTTGTCTGTAGATTCATTTTTTTATAATAATATTTGTGTTTTAATTTTTTAGAGGGCAAAAAAAGTGTTTGATCCTTCTGATAACTACATTCCAAAAAGAAGAAATAAAACTTGCATAAAATCTGAGAAATCATTTTATTGTACCAATAAAGATAATGATACAAAATTGAATAATATTAACACTACAAATGAATCATTGAATTATTCATTAAAAAATTTGTCAAATGTTTTAACATTAAACTCAGAGTCAAGTTCTACTACAATTCCAGAAATTCCTAAAATTTTACGTGAAGAATTTACAAATTGTTCTTCATGCTTGAAAATATGTGATGGAATTAGTTTGATTAGTTGTTCAATTTGTTTAGTTAAAAGTAAAATGTTTACATAAGTAAATATTTGTTTAGGAATTTATGTTTATAAATTTGCCTAACATTTAGGAAAATGTTGTTTAATTTAAAAAACTACAGTATTTTGCAATCAAACAATTTTTTTTATTCTTTTAGTGATAAAAACTTTTAATAATTATTATTAATTGACGCCTTATTTTTCTCTTTATATGATAGAAAAAAATTTGGTTCCTATCCAATGAATAATTCTTTTATTATTGCTTGTACAAGTTAAGCGATTTTTGACCAATTAATCTATCAATAATTTGCCGTTTAGTATTCAATAGTCATCATTTGTAAGAGGTACAACTAAATATTATCTATTAACATAATTAATCTTTAATAATTTTTGGCTATTAATAGGCACATACTATTGTATTCAACTCAACTTTACTATTATAAATTTTTGAAAGATTGGTTTAGAAAAATTTTCATTATCACTACATTAAAAAAAATTTGTAATCTATTGTAACAGATCATTTTTATATAATCCTGTATAATGAACATCAAATTAATGATGAATTTGTATTTTAAGTCCAAATCTTTAAATAATTTTAAAACGCAAATGGTTGATCGGAATAAAAATTTATGAGTATTATTAATTTCTATCATATCAACAAACTAAAAATAAGAGTTTCATTAAAAAAAAAAAAATTAAAGTCTAAATTTTTATCCCTAAAGGAATGAATAGATATCTATTTAAGTACATAATATTATAGTTTTTAAATTAAATAATATTTTCCTTTATGTAAATTAAACATTTTCTAAGATAATAAGTGCTTTATCCTAAACTAATTGCTTATATATATATACCTTTTTTTTTTTTTTTCTGGGAGAAAACCCCTAGAAACCCCTACTATTTTTTAAATGGTTATAAAAATAAGATGTGCAAAATTTGAGACTAAAATGTCAAAATTGAGTAAAATAGCTTTTTTTCATAAAAAAAAAGCTGAACTTTTCTCAATAACATTTTTGATACCAACATATAGATACATTTATTCCATAAATAAAAAATGTGGGAATTTAAAAATGTAGTTTTTATAATACTTAATTGATCAAAAACAATCATTTATTCTATTAATAGTAAAAAATATTCAAAATCACAAAATGTTGGAAAATTCTTTTTTTTGTTAAATTATTGTTTAGCATGGTAATAATAAATTAAAAAAAATTTAATTATGCATACATATACACATTTTGATACTGAAGACGACAATGGTGTAAATACATTTTGTGTATTATTATTATTATTTTTCTTTATGTAATACCAACTTAACTCAAAGATAAATAGACAATTTTCAAACATTCAAAAGTTCTTTAATTTTGAACAATTATTTTCAACAACATTATTTATAAAAATTTTAATAATTTTATTAAATATTTCTTAACTAGTATAATTGTTTAAATCAATCATTTTTCAAATTATGCATTTATTATATGAAACAATGTTTTTTATTTTAAATTTTACTAGATTACGGTGTAGTATTAAATTTTTATAAGTATTCAAGTGAAATAATTGTTTTCTGTTTATTAATGTTTTTAATTTTTTGTGTGGCAAAATGTAGAATTTGCTAAAAAAACTATTAAAAAAAAAAAAATATTTTTTTTCTGAAATTTTTAAATATTTTTTACTATTAATAGAATTAACAATCGCTTTGATCATTTAAATTTTATAAAAATTATTCCAACATTTTTTATTTATAGGTTAAACAACCGTATCAAAAATATTATGGAGATAAGATTGGCTTTCTTTATGAAAAAATACTATTTAGTTCAACTTTAGAGACTGGGACATGTATTAACTATGACATTTCAGTCTCAAATTTTGCATATCTTATTTTTCTAATCATTTAAAAGAGAATTAGGTTTTCCTTGAAGTAAATTTAAAAAAAAAAGTTTTTTGTGACTACCCTAATATACAAGTAGTCCAGCATTCACTAAAAAATTTAAATAACTTATGATCCAGTTAAATTTGTTTTTTTTTTTTTAAATAGTTTAAATATTAGAATGTTATGATAATAATTTAAGAAGTTTTCTTCTATCCTTGTCTAACACGTATTTCAATGTTTAATACCGTAAAATAACAAGAAAATTCAAATATTTTAATACCTGAATGGGCATGTAGTGTAGGTAGGTACAACTTATACTAGTCTGTATTTATAATGTATATTATAAATACAGTACAATATAAATATATACTGTATGTATTAAAATGCTCGTAACTCAATAAGTACTTGTACTTTATAACTAACTTTTAATAAAGTTCAATGGATAAAAAAAAAATTATTTAATCATATATTGTTCTAGAGATTTTTGGATCAAATAAATTTTAAAATTTATTTAACTCATCCGCCAAAACCTTTTCTTTTCAGTCCAGTTCACGGTATCTATAGTTATCTCAGTACTTAATGTAGCGCTCATAGGTATAGCTCAAACAAATTATTAATAATTATTATCAGCAACTATTGTTAAAATCTGTTTTTCAAGCAACTAACCCATTTGTATTATTAAATGTAGAATACTTGACATGTATATAGAGTACTTGTCTAAATTTTATTTTCAACCATTCAACTTATTTTTAGAAATAGTAATTATGGTTACTATGAGTTAAAAAAAAATCAATTTTTTTTATAATAGAAATAAATAATAAAAATTTGCTTTGGAATTATAGTCTAAAAGTAAAGAGTATTTAAAAAATTATTCTTTGTTTCTTTTCTGTTTATATTCAATTTTATACATTATTTACCTTAGTTCATAAAGATTGCTTAATTGTTAATGAACCAATGTGGAAATTTAAACTTGAAGCTTCTCCTTGGTTATGTAAACAATGTAGAGATCATAACTGTAGTAAATGTTTAAGAAATGGATCTCAATTAGTAAGTTTTATAATAAAAAAAACCTATCATGTTTTAAAAATATGAGAATTCTTTTTTCTTTAGAAAACTTGGCTTCGTTGTTTTACGTGCAAAGTTGGTTTACACGTGGAGTGTTATGAGTCATATGAATCAAAACCACTTCATACATTGAAAGATGACATGTATGTATGCATCCCTTGTATGACTTTAGCTACACAACGTGTTCCAGAAGAAGATGATGATGAAGATGGTATTTATTCATTTTTGAATATACAAAATATTTTTATGATATTCAAATATTTTTGAATAACATGTGTATATAGTAGAATATATTGAAATTCTTTATACATAGATGAAATGTAGCTAAATAGAATCTTCTGATCAAGGATTGACAATCTAGTATTTTTGGGGAAGTTATGAGACAATTTAAAACTTTTTCAAAATCTTGGATGGTATCTTTTTATACCATCCAATGATTATTATAAGACTCAACTTCTGTACAGAAGTTGTACAAAGTACAATTTTTCTTATAACAGTGTATATTCATTGTGTTAAGTTAAATTATTTATGTTATAAAGGATAGTTGTATCTCTTTGTTAATGTTTTAATATTAAAAAAATTGTCTTGAATTAGAATTAAGTCTGCCAAACATATATTACAATTATCAATCTATTTTAACACAGACATTTCACATATATTACTACAATTATTATGTATGCTAAACCATTTTAAAATTATTTCATTCAATGATAATATTTTTACTTAAAATTTATTATATACAATAACATTTTTTTAGAATTTAATTCACTTTACAGTTATTCCAAAAATGTATTTACTTATAATTATTTGTAAAATACTTTAAACTTGAAAATAATTTCTTATATTAAAAATAAAAATGATTATTTTTGATTAGTTTGGAAGTTAGTAATATTTTTATACCTGGACAGAAAGAAAAGTTGGGTTGAAAAATATCTAATAACATTAGATATTATTCATACCCACACCTCTTTCCCAGTCTATATCTAAAAGTTATTATGATTTTCAAACTACAGGTCCAAAAGTTGTTACTGACTAGTTATTTTCTTAATTAGATCATTTCTTATTGTTGTTATGTAAATTATTTTAAAATGTATATTGTCATTAAAAATAAATAAATTTGACATTTTATAAATTATTTGGGATAATTTTTAAAAGGAATTAATAACTATTGATCACAAAATATATAACATAAAATAAAAAATAAAAGTTTTTCTTTTCAATATTATATTTATTTTATATATAATTAAGTGGGTTCATGATAAATGAGTTATACTTTTTAGTTCAAAAACTTAGTTAAAAAGCTTTAGTACCATGCTGGTTGGAAATATGTGTTCAGAAGTGTTTGTTCATATAAATATATTTAATAATTATTTATGTATTTGAACTTTCCTTGGTCTTCAAAATAGCTTTTAAGTTTTGATACTTAACATATTTTGATTTTTCCTGTAGATTTAGATGAGTCACAAATCTCCTATAATTCATCATCTAATGCATCAGAAGATAGTTATTATTCAAAAAAAATTATTCCTCACTCTGGTTCTGCTTTATTAACAACACAAACTACTAGCATGCCTACAGCAAATTTATGTAAAGGACTTACTATACCAGATGTAACTGAATGGAATAAACACAAAGTATACAAATACTTAGTACAATGTGTGTCACAAGAAATAGCATCTAAAATTATTGATAATGTAAGATTTTGTTTATTTGGATTCATATTGATTAGATATTGTTTTTAATTTGATTAAATATTACCAACCACATTCAAATGTATTTATGTGTGATTTAATCACAAATAATTGTATCTTTGTCCAAGTATCAACTATCATTGTATCAGAATATGGAGACAGTATTGAACTATTTTGCAATTTAAATATTTCATTTTACCATTCCCTAGTGATTTAAATATGATATTTTCACACAAGCTTTCATAAAACTTTACTTTTCGCTTTTTCTCCTAGCTTATTTGAATAAAATGAGCTCTAGGGACATGGATATATAGTAGAATATAATAAAATTCTTTATACATAGATGAAATGTAGCTAAATAGAATCTTCTGATCAAAAATTAACATACTAGTATTTTTGGGGAAGTTAGGAGACAATTTCAAATAAGCACTTTGACTGATCTACTGACAGGACATTGTCACTTGTTTAAACATCTTTATGCAGTGGGGGTCTTGGAATCACCATTGTGTAGGAAGTGTGTAGTAGAAGAGGAAGACTCATTTCACAAAATGTGCAAATGTAAAGCCTTATCCACACTAAGATCAAACTACTTGAGTAAACCTTTTCCTGAAAAAGAGGATATCAAAAACCTAAGACTCAAAGAGATACTTAATTTTACCAGAAAGACAGGACTCTTTGGTTATCCAAAGGGGGGTGACTTGATAATACACCCTTTATACAATGATAGGTATAATGTAATAACACTTAGGTGTGTAAAACGAATCAATAGACATGGGCATTATGTTCATTTCATTAATAACTAAAACTAAAAATAAATTAGGAGACAATTTTAAATTTTTTCAAAATCTTTTTGTACCATATCTTAATGATTATTATAAGATATTTTCATTTGAGTTTTTATAAATTTGACTTTGAGCTTTTTTTTCCCTAGACTATACAAATAAATTGAAAAACTTTATAAACCTGAGTATTTGAATGACTTAAAATTTGACATACATTTATAAAATATATCAGAAAGAAACTTCTGTCCAAAAGTTAATATTCTAACTTTTTTAGTGGAGAAGAGGTGATTTTAAACTTTCTTAACATTTTGTTATATTGTTCCCTAATGAATATAAATCAAATTTCTATTTTTTAATTTTTATTAAATTTATACCTGTAGCTTTTTCTCTATACCATAAAGTAAAATTTGTAAAATCTACTACTTTTGTGGCTCTTGGAAATTAGAGTTAGAGTGATAGCATTATTTTAATTTAAGTCTCATTTTACAACTTTAGACTCAGATTTAAATAATCCTCTATAAAATTTACAGTTAAATTTATTTCCTGACTACTACAAATACCTTAAGATCTTGCCAAGTTGTACAGAGTATAATAGCATAGTAATGGTTGACTTTTGGTTATTTTTTAATTTATTCTCATTACAATTATTCATTAATCATATTAAAATTTTATATTTCTTATAAATAAGAAAATTAAATTCATATAAATAAACTGTATTTAAGCTATTTCAATAACACGTTTAAGAATATCTTAAGCAAATATTATTCTTGAGAATTGACTACAAATTATTTTTTGTTTTAATTAATTAATTTTTTTAAATCTATAAATCTAGGAAATTGATGGAAGAGCTCTATTATTAATTCAAAGGTCAGATGTAACTAATAACATGGGCTTGAAGCTTGGACCTGCAATGAAATTGTACAAACAAATACGTATTCTACAAACACATAGTACATACAATTCTGTATTTTGGGAGTAATATTTTAAAATAAAACACTACTAGACTTAATTAAGTTAGTATTATTTTGATTTATTATTATTGTTCTTTAAAGTAGATTTATAAATTACAACTATTATTTATATCATGATAATGAATTTTTATTTTTGTATATAAATATAGTATAGTTCCTAAAATGGAAAAATTTAATAAAACTAAATTTTAAACCATTCAAAATTTTCAACTTTTTGCTTGACAAATGACATTATTGTTCATCAAAATTGGTCCAGCGAGAGCTGAGATTGAGCATTCACTAACAAAAAAAAAATAAAATAAAAAAAAAACACATCATAGTAAAATTGATACCTTCTCAGTTTCTTATCGAAGCTAAAACTTTTTTAGTTAAGAAGATCGGCTATGGACCATCATAGCAACGTATTTGTATCTTTTAGCTTCGATGCGAAGCTAAGAAGGTATTAATTTTACTATGTTTTTAATATGTGAACAATATAAATCCACATGAAGCTCAATGATAGGTAACAAGAGTAATAACATTATCTGTAAAAAAATGTAACATTTTTTATTTAAATTTTTTTCATACAAATTATCAAGTACATTATACAAACTTTTTTGAGGTATCTTGATATATTTATAACAAAATTATTTTACGATTTTTAAAATAGGACTTATATGAAAATCAACAGCCATGTGCTTTTTTTTTTGACAAGACGAGTATTTTATTTACAAAAAATAAATACAAATATATATATCTATATAAAAGGAAATCCGCTAATTTAACTAAGTTCTAACAATAAAACAAAAACTACTTAAGATATAAAATTCCAGTCTTACATTTCAAACAGATTAATACAAAAACAATTACTATAATTAATCAATTTTCGGGGCTGTAGTAAACCTGGAAAAATTAAATATTTTTTTACCTTTTTTTATTAGCTAATTTGCAAATGACAGGATAAATAGTATATCAAATTTATAACAACAATTAGATAACCCATTCAACATTAATAAAAAATCTTATTATTAACACAAAGGAATGGAATATTAAAAAGACTCAAACTAGTTTTAATATAAAACAATAGTTTAATCTAATAGTGCATATAAGACTTAATAAATAAAAGGTAAAAATAGCCTGGAACATTAAAAATATCACAATTCAGTCCAACTATAATGAGTACAGCCCCTTAAGTTGGTAAAAATAAATTAAGTAATAACTATAAAATTAGTACGATGGCCTTTCATCTTCACTAGACAAATCAGTATGACTTAGTAAATTAACTTTATCTTCTTTTTTAGGCTTATTTGATAGTAAACCATGCTTGGGTACTCGAAAATCAGGTTCAAAACAAGGCTAAACAAAAAAAAAATTTTTTTTAGCTTTAATAGATTATTATAATTATTTTCTTACAGTTTCACAGATGTTCATATTGCAACAATTCTCAATGGTGATTTCACATTGTTGGTTTTGCTGAACTGGTCTGCTAGTTAAGGGAGTTATGCTTTTATTCACAACAATACGCTTCTTTATTCGAGGCCGGCGCCCTAAGAACCGTACTCTTCTTACTAAAACTAAAGATAAAGTACCCAAACTGACAGCAAATACTACAAGAATTGCTATCACTGCAGTCAAAGTCTTGCTAAGTTTACATGATGACATATCTGAATTAATTATTGCTAAGTCTGCATAGTTATAATTCCTAGTATATTCTTTGCAACTAAAAGTAGTTAAAAAAATCAATGAAGTACAGATTTTATACTTTATATAATATAGTACATTTTTTATTGACTAATACCTGCAAATATTCAATGCAGAAGATTTGGGTGTGTTTTGACAATAAACAGAGCAGATTTCAATAAGCCAATCAGATTTATATTGACATGTATTTCCAGTAAAACCAAGTTGACATTCACATTTGGGATTACCTAATGTGTCTAATATACAATTACCACCATTTATACACTCACTAGGACACTTGTGCTTTTCACATTTATCACCAAAACTTGTAGAAGGACAGGCACATTCAGGTTTACCATAATGAGATATTGAACATAATCCAGACACACAATAACCATCACAGATGTACAACTCACAGTATTTACCTTCAAAACCATTAATACATATGCATGTGCCATTATCAAGTAATTTCCCATTATTTTTACAAACATGTTTTGGTTTCTCATTTATTTTTGGTATTGGTTCCACAGTTTTATTTGAAGTCTCAGTAACCTATAATAATAACTGATATAATTAAACACACAAACTATAAACTACAAATGTTTACTTGATTTTCTTTGTATTTTGAGCAGTATGTGTTATTCACGAAGTTCAAGTTTTCAATTGGAGTTATAAGTCCCATTGGTGTATTTATAGATTCATATTTTTTTATTTGCTTTGGTTCTATACCTTCTTGAAAGGAATCTTTAGGCAAACTCCACACAGCATTGTTAATCCAATCACTCCAATATATATTATGAGCATCCAAAACAACAGCAAATGGTTGATGATGAGTACCGTGGATTAAAACTTTTCTGGATCTACCATTTTCATCACTGCTTTCTATACTATAGTATATACCTTCACGTTCATCACTCCAATATAAAAGATTTTTTTCTACATCAATTGCAATACTTAAAGGCTGAAATAAATGATCACTGATAATAACTTTACGATCTGTTCCATCTAAACGTGATCGTTCAATAGTTGCATTTAAATGATTGCAGTTGGTCCAATATAAATATCTAAAAATCCAATTATTTTACATTTTTATTATAATTTTATTTTGTACTATTAAAAAATAATTACCCTCTACAAGAATCTATTGCTATACCCTGTGGAATTTCATCTTTAAACTTAAAAAGTATAGTCCCATTGATAGGTAACTGAGTATCATTTTTTGGTATATTGACATGATTAATGCTTAAACCATTACCAGTTGTCCAGTACAAAGTAGACGTTTGGTAATCAAAAGCTAATCCTTGAACAGGGGATGATTGTTCTAAAAAGAAAAAAAAAGACAATTAATTATTAAGTTAATTAACAATCTTAAAACAATATCACATACTGGTAACAACAGTTTGAATAATACTATATTTTTCTTTACTAGTCCATTTAATTCTAAATATACTTCCACTTTTATGATTGGAATCACTAACATATATATCTTTTGTAACTGGATCATATGCAGCTGATATCATATCTTTAAGTTGATCAGCTGCAGTACTTTCTACTTCATTATTAATAAGGAACTGTATCTGAGCCTGAGTGACAACACTTAAGTCTGAAAATATTATAAATATTTTATAAGATAAAATTCTATACTAAATTAGATATAAGATAAGTCTACCAAATGAAACATTAGTAAATATTGACAACCTATGCGAGTTAGATTTTCTGTTTCTTTTTCGTCGAACTGTAGTAGGGTAAGATGAAGACTTCAGTATTTTTTAAAATCAATCATATATTGCAGCACATCCTATTTATCGTAAAATGCTTTACAGTACACTTTGTTACTCAACAGTACTAACACATGTGAGGGCATACTGATTTTAGTTGGGATTTACAGTTTAGATAACCAAAATTTGGTGGATACTGATATTATAGGAAAAATTAACTTTCATTGTATTCCAGTTTTTTTATATATTAGTTAATCCATAATTTAACAAACTATATATAGCTTGAAAAAGACTATAGTTTTTCAATAAATGTCTAATTTTAAGACATTTAATTATATTCAGAATATCATCTGTTGTATTTTATATTTTATTCGACATTTTTTAATATCTGCAGTTAATACAAAAAAAAAAAAAACAGTGTGTGTTACGAGTACGTGGGGATGAAATAAAATTTCTTTCTTTATGAAGATATCGCGTGAAAATTGCATTGGTTCTTTAAAATTTTTTTATGTGCAATCAAAATTATTTGAAATTAAATTACTTTAATTTTCGAAAATACAGTGCTAAATTATAATATAAAATATACTTTACAGCCAATTATGATGCTCGATAATATATTTTTTTTTTGTACCTCTGTAAAGAAGTTTCACTTCAAAAAAAATTGAAAGGTCACAGGAAAAAAAATGAAACTAATTCGGGAAATTTCTTTCTTTCATCGCCCTCATATTTTAAGCTTTAAGGTTTTTTTCAAAATTGTATTTAATTAAAAAATGTATTTCTTTAAGCTCATATTTAAAGAATTGTAGCCATAAATTTTGTCTCATCAAGTTAATTACTGAACAAAAATGTAAAATAAAACTATATTTATGGAAGATGTACATAAATAAATTAATAATGAATCAATTTATAATATTTAAAACTTGGTATTATAACACTTATTTGGTTTCCCATTTGGTTCATCTATAACATAATATAATATAATATTTTTTTAATTTCTATATAAATAATATATTATTATCACTTCTTATTTATAGTAATCAAATAAATATATTTGTTCACCATAATTAAGAAAGTGCTAGCAAAAAAATGTCAGAAAAGAAGGAGAGGGGGCTTATAAAGAAAACATGTATAAGCTTATTTTTTAATGTTTTGTAGTAACTCAGGAATGTTTATAAATTAGGTCAGTGTAACACAGCGTTTTATAATTTAATTAAAGAGGAAATTTGTTATAACAACGATTATTTTTTAATTTAAATACAAAAATTAAAAATATTTTTGAAAATCCTAATTTTTAACGCATTTCTTTTCTAAAAAATTTCTTCTTTTTTTCTTTATCTTAATTCCAACTACATGGGGTCGGCCACCCTTATCCTAAACTTCAACTTAACACGATCTTCAACATCATTTAGGCTCATATCAGATCCTCATATCGCATTCAATAACATCTCTTCATATCTTTTTTGGTATTCTCTACCTCTTCCTTCCTCTTCTTTCTTTTGTAAAAGATATAATTCTCAAATATAATTTCTCATAAGCACCATTTTATTCGATATCTATGTATAGAAAAATGTTATTATTGCAACAAAAATAGATAAAACATATTTTTATCCTAATCTTTCAGTTTAAATGTTCATTTAATTTATTAAAAAATAGATATTCGAGTAAATTATAATGAATATATTAATTATAATCTAAAATTTCTAAGCAATAATAGAAGATAAAATTATTATATACTGGAAATAATAAAAAACAATTCATTGTTTTCTTATGATTTCTCCCTTTCTCTAAACATATTAGGGACTGTCGTTTTTCTAATTATTTAATTAAAAACTCGACATTGGCCTCAATTTTTATATATGAAGGTAATTGATACATTAATACAAGGTAATAAAATCCTAGATATAATTTTGATAAAAATTAGTGGTTATTCATTTATTAGGTTCATTAAAAATATTATATAGCATAATTTAAATAGATATTAATTGTACACTTGTTATTAAACAAATAGGAAACTATACTTTTAAATATAAATGATCAAGTTACTTGAAACTACCAATTACCACAGTATATATGCAAGTAGAGATTTAATATGTAGGTATAAAAATTATTTTCCGCATAGATAGTAATTAATTAATGTAATTAATTTTTTAATTGAAATTAACCTTGAACATCCCTAAAAAAAATTTCCTGTATGATAACTAAAAAACTTTCTTATGCGAAATCAGTGTTTAATTTTAAAATATAAAATAATTAAAAATTTAAATAATAACAAAACTTCATTAAATTGAACACATATAATAAATTAAATCAGTAACATCATAGAGAATTAAATACAAAATTATACATACATAAAAAAACAGGAAATGAAATTAAAAAACAAAGACTTTATTTTTTTTAATAAATTGCTTAATGTGAGTTAATAAAATACTATGATAAATAATAGGCGATATTTGCAACTCAAGTAGATTTAAAATTGTATACAATATCTTCTAAATTAATTAGTGTTTCATATTTTTTTAATTGTACTAATTATATTCATAAGTACGAACTTCTTTAAATGATAATAGTTTTGTCTAGTGATGGGCATTTTAGAATATTTTAAACTATCGAATAGTATTGAATAACTATTCGAATTGTTTTTATACAACCGAATAGTTTATTTTTAGCATAAACTATCGATTAGACTATCGAATAGTTTAAAAACTATTCGAATATATTGTGTAACTATCGAATAGTTTTTGAATGACTATCGAATAGTTCGAATAGTGGACAAATATCGAATAGTTCGATAGATACTATTCGATATTTCCCATAACTAGTTTTCTCTAACACTTCGACAGATTTTCCATGGCTGAAAGCCTTTTACACCATTATATCAGTATTATTAGTTATATCTCGGTAGTCAACGCACAAAAATGACAAATAAGCACTTTTATTATAAAATGTTAGGAGGTATAGAATAAAGCTCCTGAAACCATACTTAGCAGCATATTGGTTGATAATTAGTAGTGATGGGCATTTTCGAATATTTTAAACTATCGAATAGTATTCGATTGTTTTAAAAAACTATCGATTAACTATTCGAATTGTTTTTATACAACCGAATAGTGTGCTTTTAGCATAGACTATCGAATAGATTTAAAAATATTCGAATAAACTATCGAATAGTTTTAAAAAATATTCGATTAGTTCTATCTAAAATTTTTATTAAGTACACTTAAATATAATAAGAAGATAATTAGCGAATACTTAAAATAAATTATTATACAATTAATAATAGTAAAAAGTACCATTTTATTTATTTTTAGTTTATGAGTCGTTGGTAAAAACTTATAAATATGGGTCGAAAATTAAAAAGCAGTTCTTTTTTTCGATGACTAATGATATATTTTCAGTTTTATCGGAAAGGTTTGTTCTATGCGCAACAGAAATTTCGTAAATACTAAAGTCTTATTTTACACTTAATACCTTGTATACTGTACTTAGTCTAGAATTACCTGCTCTTATGTCTTGCAAAGGCATAACACCGATAAAGAGGACAGCGCGTTTTAAATTTTTACGTTTGTAAATTGTGTTCGAATTGTGTTTATAACACCGAATATTTTATTTTTATCATAAACTATCAAATATTTTAAAAACTATTCGAATATATGTGTAACTATCGAATATTTTTACTATTCGAATAGTTTTTAAATGACTATCGAATAGTTCGATAGTTACTATTCGATATTTCCAATCACTAATAATTAGAGACCTATTTACAAGTTTAACGCCTTAGATAAAGAAAAAAAATACCCCCTTTGATTATAAAACAAAAAGCATGCAACACATACACTGTTGCATGTTAAAGTTGGACTTTGTTATTATATAAAATGTTTGATAGCGATTAAAAATAATGCATACACAAACATATATTGACATTGTTGAGGGTAAAAGGTTATACTAACTACACAAGATAAAAGAAATTGTCAAATAAGGTGACAATAGTTGCATTTCCTTTAGTTGTAACATAAGTTGTAAGCATATTTTAGATAATGAAAAACATTGACCATGATGAATAATAAGTTAATAATATAATAAGTTATAATATTGTAGAATTTAAAAAATGTCAATGCGTTTTGGTTTTGTTTTATGCGTGTATTTTTAAGCTCTTAATTTCAATTATAAATTAGAAGTGAGGTATACTATAGTTCTGGTAATATTTATTCTATACAAATTATAATATATTCTAAAAAAAATATTCAAGTTATTACATAATTTTCTGAATAATATAATTTTCTAATCTAAAAGATGATTTTTAATAATGTAAGTTTTTACTTCAAAAATGTTCCAAATTGTTTGGTAAAATGTTACTGTATTTATACAGTATCATTTATAAAAAATGATTTTGAGTTTCATATAAATTTAACAATGGATTTTTCAATTATAATCAATTTTTATTTTAAAATGTGCTTTTTTTATGTCTGTCCATAAAATTTTTTAGCTCTCACTAGACCAATTTTGATGATCAATACGATGATCAATAGCAATTTTTTTTAAATTTTTTGCCTTTCAATTTTGATGCACATTAGTCATAAAAGTAATAATTTTATATTAAGTCTCCGGAAAAATTACAATAATAAATTAATAAATATCAACTTCATACTAAATTTAATTGTTATAATAAATATTTATTCATATACTTCTAAATCAAAGAATTATTAATCAGGAATAATGAAGAAGATAGGAATTAATTTGGATTTTAATATAATCCAACAATTTCTTAGAATTAAACACTATCTACAGATTTGCATCGAAGCGTTTTTTATAATAGTAATTTTAATCACCGTCAGATATCATCTATACTTGTCCCATCTATGCCACGTCACAATTGTGCTGCGACCTC